AACGTACACGTATTCAAAAAAGTGACAAAAAATTAAAAGGTGACGAATTTAAAAAAGTGAAAAAAAAACTCCTCCGATATAGAAATGGAGCAAGAAAAATGGGGAATATCAATTTACACCACAGAAGGAACCATGTGATTTAATAAATTTGTAGTTTGATATATATAATAGTGCCAAATGCATCTACAAAAATGATAACAAATTGAATTGCAAACTTCAATACTTGTGTGCAGATTTCCATCCTCTGAATCACCATTTTTGCAACTTTTTTTTTTCCTACTTATTTATGTAGCTTTTCCTTCTATTCTCCGCTTCTTCTTCCCACCATTTCACTCATGTAAGTAACAAGTGTATATATACCATAATAATTGTAGTGGTATTTGTTCATTTCTTATCATATGAAGCAATTAAAATTTGGCATTTTCAACTCCCAAAGGATCAAAGTGAAAACGTACTAAAAAGTGCACAGAATTAGTCAAAAAGGTGCAATTGCAACTCATTCAATGCCTTATCGACCGCAGTAGCCACCACTAAATTCCTCATCCATCTAAGTACTCTATACATCCTCCAAGTCTTCGTCACAATCACTGTGATCACCAACAATTGAGCTTCCATAGTCGAATTCTTCACTTTCACCAATCACCGACTGTTTTTCCTCCAAAACCTCAAGCAATGAAGTCTGAAATTCTTCAAGTTTGAATTTCGATTCGGGTGTAGCAACACAATGACATTGATTGGGTGAGAGGGTTTCCTTTGGGAGCTTTTTGAAAATTGGGACCGATGGTTTGGGGGGTGGGGAGTGGGAGGGGTGGGTTTGATAGTTTTAGAATGTATTAAATACGTGATGAAATCATTTAATTATTTAATTAATAGGATATTAATCAAATTAGTTAATTTTTTAGAGCATTGGGCCTAATTTGCTCCACAATAAATTGCTCCATCATTATTAGGCTCAATTAAATCAACAGTATAATGCCTTAAGTGAAATCATATATACCCATAAAGAAAAAAATATTCCAGTATATACTATTATATGATAATATATTTATAATATACTGTATAACATAAATAAATATACAAATAATACTGTTTAAAAACTTTCTCTTTTATTCTTTTGTAATTGAAATTTAAATCTGCATACATTACACTCATTAAATTGTAATTGCAATGGATATGAAAAATTCAAATTCAATTACTTTTCTCGTGAACAAGATTCTGGAATTCGACAAAAATGGTCATTGTACAACTGCGAGAAATACACAAATTCAAAATCGACTTCATCACGTTTCTTATCTTTTGGTTTTTGTCAATTATTTTATATAATTTGCATTTTGATGAAACGGTAATGTTATTGGACGTGATATATAACTGTGGTTGTTTTTGGATATAATAACATAAACTTGCCGTAGTTTGGAAACTCAATCTACCCTGCAGTGGTGGATCTAGGTAGTGGCCGCCCTAGCTGGATCCACCGAAAGCAATTGTTTCTTTTTTGGTTGACAATAGATTAAGGTTTTAGCTTATATTACTGATAATTCTTTCTTCTTTTAAATTTCCCCTCTGGCCAAAATGGTTGGGGCTCATACTTATGTTTTGTAGGTCTCGGTTTCGAATCTCTTCACAACCAATTAAATGTGCAAATTTTTTAGTTTTACAATTTCTACCAAAATTAATGCTATAGGAAAGATTTGGATAAGATTCGAACCGTGGGCTCCTATTCTAATCATTGAACACCTGACCACTCTGGCATACTTGGTTTTTGAAACTTAATTCAACAAAATAATATATACTACATTTATTGGGTTTAATAAAATTATAAAGATTTCAAATCATGCCTTTCCTTTAAATTATACGAAACTTGGCAACAATGTCATTTGATGAATATACGATTTATTCTTATAATAAAATTATATATATTCAATATGAACAAAATAATTGTTATATTCAAATTTTTGGCCTTGTTTTATTTTCATTTTTTTCAAAATACATTTTTATCTATCTTATTTTTAACCATACATTCTTCAATAAAATAATATTACACCCAAATTCATAACTTTTTCCTTATTTTTAACTTCACGTTCTCCATGAAATCACTATTTCAAAAAGCATTTTTTGCTATAAAAAAAAAGGACATCAAACGAGCTTTTAATACTTTATTGCGGCTGATGGTCGACAATCAATGATCGCCAATGCTAACTCAAAATCATGGACTCGCCACTACTACCCTAGATCTGAATTCTTTGAATTGGGTACAGACACATACTCTCATCATTTTAGTGCGTTTCATATATGGGTTTTTTAAAATTAATTCAACACATCACATAGATTCTTGCTAATAATTGACTGTAATGTCCTCTGGTAAAATTTCTAGGCTCAAGAACATTCTTTGTACTGTTATCTATCATCAGAATTTGTGTTATCTTGATGCATATAAGATTGCAATGTTTCTGGTTGGTTTATTCATTCTCCTCCTCCCAAAGCAAGATTTTATGTTTAATTGTGCTTCTGATTAACATACCTTTCTGTGACAGAAATCTTATGCTGTTGTCGATTCAGTTAACGTTTTCATTACATGCAATACTGATACATCTGGAATTCTGGTTATTATTGGTTGCAAATAGGTGGACAATTTCAGCGAAATTGAGCACTCATAAGAGGGTGGCTGATCTCAAAATAGAATATGATGTAGGTGGTGATATGGCTACAAATAATCAATCACTCCGTTCCTACGTTAAGTTAAAATAACACATAACCTGGAAGCTATAGGGACAACCAGTGTTTTGAAGCAGATGCCTTCCAGGATACATGAATCAATCATACGTTTTTTGTGAATATCATATGTCTTTCAGGAAATAATATAAATGTTAACATTTTACTTTTTATATTTCCACCTACGTATCTGATTTCATGTATGCGATTTTGTATCTCTACTAGTTGTAATAACTAGAAATGATTGTGGATTATTTGGATCTTAGATCACGTCATATGATTTTTCTTGGAAATCTGTATATCTTATCTAATTGATTGTGAAGAATGTATGACTGTTGCATATCATTGTGTACTATCTCTATAGCTGCAATTGTGAAAGTTCATGGAATTTTATTTGGAATGTCTCTATGTTTTCATCCCAAGAAAACGGGGAGAATAATGAAGAATACTTCCAAATGTAGCATTCAGTTCAGTTCATTGTGTGGGATTGCACCCATGCTACAATATAAAAGAGGAACGTCAGTAACAATCTTCACAAGAGGCTTGACCATTCCAATTCGATCAGCAGTGCTGGCTTGCCAAGCATTTATCATCACTATTATGTGTGAACTACATAGCCCTAATCACGGGAACATGATGATCTTGAAATTGATTTCTTGAATGATATTATAGGTTATGGTGTTTGCTGTACATCTGTATAGGATTAATCTTTGGGATGATTTTGGGATTTCTTTGCTGGAGCCTTCTTCCAATAATAGATATTCATAGAAATTGAAAGGGCAACCATTGCAGATTTTGATATTTGTCAAAGTATAGGAAGAGCACGTTTAGTGGAGTAAACTTAGTTGCCATATTTAATACCACTAGAAATTGGGTTGTTTTCACATTTCATATTTACTTATATTTTTGTAGTAATTGTGGGATAAAAAAATTTAATACGTATTTTTTGAATATTTTTTAAATATTGGGTAGGTGGTGTAATTTCCATTTCATTTAAAGAAGTTGGCCCAAACTACTATTATCTTGTGAGATTTCAGCTAAATGGTTGCTAGACAGTGGGCCCTATAAACTTTTGACCCATTTAAAGATGACCCACTTATGTAATTTATCTAAATAACATTTTATTTAGAGCAAATTATATAAACTTTCCATGCTATTGTGTAAATGTTCTTATTTCGCTCGAACACTTTATAAAACATATTAAGAGGTGTGGCATAATCCCTTGTACTTTGAGTATTATTTGTATATATATATCTGAAAGATTTGAGATTTTACCCATCAGAAAATTAATTAGTCCGAAGATAGGTTACATGTCTTCTTCCTAAATTTGTATTTTATTTTTATTTTCAGTAAATAAATACTTTTACTTTGTCATGGTAATTTAATTAAAAAGAAAAAATGGGTCTACAAAATGTGTTGCACATTGTTGGCCCTCCAAGAAGTTGAGAATAATTTCTTAGGAATACATGAGTTCTGTGGACAGCAAAAAAGAATAAAAAAAGAGAGACAGAAATGACAAAAAGTAAAAGTGAAAAAATAAAATAATGTACCTTACTTAATCATAGAGTAATACTATTTAGTTCATCTATAAATACTACTTGCCCTTCTTGATGATCATAGCATATTTACAATTGACTTCCTCGCTAGAGAAAATGACAGAATTAGAGTCGAGTAAGCTGCTTTAACTTATTTGTGTTATTATTATTATTTATGTTTATTTTTATTTTTTGTGTTTGATGTCTCCAGTTTCCTTATCTTCTTGAGCTCTATTATTTAATTGCTAGTTCAACTAGCATCATTGATATTAAGCTTTGAATGTAACTCTTGAAGCAACGAAGTATATATTACTTTTTGTGGTTCCTTTACACTGTTGGGAACTGTAGTTTTTCTTGACTGTTAGTGTATGTATGTACAATGTCTTGGTATTTTTATTTTTATTTTAATACCAAAATTGTTTGCCACCCAACTTATAGCATTGTTTTATTTAGTCATCAAACTTTTTTTTTTTTCTTTTGCTTTAAGTTTGTCATTGAACTTTCATTTTTGATTGGCGAACAGATAACATAAAGCTTAATCTAGCGGGTCTGGGAATTGTGCAGGAGGAGCTAACTGAGGAGAATTTTGAAAATTGGAAAAATTGCTTGAAAAATTATTTTGTTGGGAATGGACTTTGGGGTATTGTCTCTGGTAAGAAGACTAAACCAGATAAGAAAAACAAACAAGAGCTTGAAAAATGGAAGAAAAAGAATGCTTTGGCTCTGCATGCAATTCAACTTTCATGTAGATCAGCAATGTACTCTGAGTTTAAAGGATACATTTCTGCTCACGATGTATGGGTTCATTTGACTCATGAGAGAGATTGGGACGATGACGAAGAAAGTTATGACAAAGACAATGGTAATGTATCAATCCTTGTGATGCATTAGTTCGTCTAAAATCTCATATTGTTATAAGAAACATGAAATTGCACTATTGGTTCTCATTCATTAAAAATGAGCGAGTTATCAACCTTCTATTGCAGTTGCACAATCAGTTCAGAGAAACCATTCAAATCTTCGTTAAATTGTCATGCAAACCTGGGTAGTTATCTATAAATTTTAAGTGAGATATTCCTTCACAAGAACAATGTGGTGGTGCCAATCTTACCTTTTTTTTTTTTTATATGAACTCTGTATTCAATACAACCACCTTACATACAGGTCGACTTCATTATTTGCAGGGTCGAGCGAGAACCTTGATTACAGGCCATTGTACAAGGCAATTAAAGAAGGTAATTGGCATGCTACTGATGAATTCTTTCAGCGGAACGAACTGCCATTTAATGCAAGAGTTTCAGCACACAAAGAGACAGCTCTGCACATTGCAACTTTGTCTGGACAAACTGAAATTGCAGAAAAACTTGTAAAATCGATGGAGCCACAAGACTTAGAACTGACAAATGGTTATGGAGCTACTGCCTTATCTCTTGCAGCAATCTGTGGCAAGAACAAACTGGCAGAAAAAATGATAAGTAAGAACAAAAAATTAGTTACAATAGTAACTAAAGGTCATGAAGATGGGCGTCTTCCTGTTATTGTAGCTGCATCGTATGGACAAGAAAAAATGGTTCGTTATTTATACAAAGTGACACCAAAAGATGAGCTGAGTCCCGAAAAGGGTGAAAACTGAGTAACACTACTCACTCGCCTTATTACTGCTGAAATTTATGGTATGTGAATGTATAATGTGTGAAGTCTAATCACACTCTTGGATAATTCTGTTAATTGAAAATAAACCTAATACCCATGCATATATACTTCATATTTTAGGTGGCCATTTTGTTTCACAGTAGTGAAGACATAGTTCTCACTTTGAGTGTGTGCAGCACTCAAAATCACTATTTGAATACAATTTATAAATTGTTCACAATTTCAGTCAAAGTGAAACATTAATTTCAAATGTATATTCATAATTACTACTCATTACTATCCACAAATTTTGTGGAATTTACTACTATTCTTCATTATAAATTGATCATAAATTTTGCCAGACATAGGCTTTTTGTTTTTTTTTGTTTTTTTGTTTTTTTTTATTTTGGTTTACTGTAAGTTTCAGTCATGATTGAGATTAAGGCTTAATCCATATGATATGGATACCGAATTCTCATTGTTTTCTTATTGTAGATGTTGCTTCTATGCTATTGAAAAAGTATCCAAAGCTGGGTGTTACCCAAGATCAAAGTGGCAATTCCACTCTCAAAATATTGGTTCACAAGCCTTCAGCATTTCTTAGTGGGACTGAGCTTACTTTCTGGGAAAGATGGATCTACCATTGTAAGTATATAAATGCTCTCCTATTAATTTCATTCACAAACAATTACCACGAAGGTACATTTAGATAAATTTTAGTTTCCTTTTCATACTGTCTAGTACAATATAAAAATATAAATACACATGTTGAACGTTGATCGTTTTGAAAAGTATTTTGAATATTTTACACAAGGTATAAGAGTACATACACCTTGGGACAGTCATCATGGGTCCCATGAAAAGGAGCATGTAGAAATGCAAACATCAAGTACTAGTCATGATCACAACATTCAAATTTTTGAATCAAGCGACGAAGATGCACACGGTGGCCTAACTATGACTACTCAAGTTACATCAAATAGTCCCTTCCCTTCTTGTTCAGGTCTTCTTCACGCACCTAAATTTAGTTTAGAGTATAAATCAGGCCATGATTGACTCGTGGACCACCCCTGGCTCTGCTCGGCCAGTCCATCTCAGGCCCAAGTCTTTTTCTAAATTTATTTTGAACATGTGAACCCATGTTCCTTCGCAGTTGAGCCCATCCAAATGTAGATGTGGGCTGACCATGCCATGGCCTGTGATGGACCCGGTTGTGCTTTCATGGGTTAAGGCACATTTTGATACCTCTAAGTCAATTCTTGTTTTGCAGTTCTAGAATTGGGGCGCAAATTAGGTTGGCGGATATTGAAATTCCTCGGTAAGTATCTTCCTATTTGTATATTATTTCTGCTACACATGAATTGAATTTTTTCTTAAATTTTCAGCTCCAAGGATCAATTACATACACGAGAGGAAGTTAGTCCATGTTGAAGTTGCAAATCTCCTAATTGTCGTGTTTAAAGAAGTGCATCGTCTGAACAAATCAGAGCTCGACGAAATGGACATGGATACAATTATATATGATGCCATAAAGCATGGAATTCATGAATTTATAAAAGAAGTGATTGAATATAAACCTGAAATTATATGGAGAAGAGATAAAAAGAGGAGAACAATTTTTTCACACGCAATTGTTTTGCGTCAGGAGAAGATTTACAGCCTTATATTTGATTTAGGAACAGAGAAGAGGATAATTACAAAGAAGCGTGATATTTTTAAGAACAGTCATTTACATCTTGCTGCAAAATTGTCTCCTCCTTCTCAACTTGAGAAGGTATCTGGAGCAGCCCTACAAATGCAAAGGGAACTGCAATGGTTTAAGGTAATGTATTTGTGTATCCCATTGTGATTGTTATTCGAGTCAGTGCATCCTAATTTTCATCATCTTATGTTGTTTCTTTTGATACACAGGAAGTCGAGAGCATAGTACAACCCAAACTTAAAGAGGAAAAAAATGCGATCAACAAAACACCCAAAATGTTATTCACTGATGAACACGAGAAATTAGTCAAAGTAGCAGAGGACTGGATGAAAAGCACAGCAACATCATGCATGATAGTAGGCACTCTAATTGCTGTTGTAATGTTCACAACAGCTTTCACAATACCAGGTGGTAATAGAAACGAGACAGGATTGCCGACAATGCTGGAAACACAAAGAACTCCATTCTTGATTTTCATGATTTCAAATGCCTTGTCGATGTTCAGTTCGACTACGTCGCTATTGATGTTCTTAGGAATTCTTACGGCGCGTTATGCAGAAGAAGATTTTCTCAAGTCCTTACCTAAGAAATTAATAATTGGATTAACGTGTCTGTTCTTTTCGATTGTTACCATGATGGCATCCTTTGGTTCTGCATTGTATTTGATTCTGCATGAGAAGTTGTCTTGGGTTACCATTCCGATCATCATCCTCTCAACAATTCCGATAGCAATTTTCTCCATCTTGCAGTTTCCTCTTTTGATTGAGATGACAATTCGGACTTATGTAGGCGGGATATTTGATAAACCTAAGAAGAAATCCTGTTTTGCTATGTTTCGAGCGTATGGTTGAATAAATAGCATTTGATACTATTGAGGAAGAAAAATAATATTATCAGTCATGCTATATGGTAATACTGAATGTGGCGCCCAAAATTTGTTGTTTGTTCATTTTGGTTTCTGTCATTTTAAATGTCAATGTATCCATGGTGTTTTTTTTAATAAGAATTCAACTTGTTGAAGTACTTCTCTTTTAGCCACATGCCATTGATGAATTCTATTTCGCCTTTATTAAATTAGAGCTTATGTGCTTGTTCTAACAAACGTCACCTAACAAAATCGTTTCCCTTTTGCCTCATTTTAATAGCTAGGAAAAAAATTGATTATTATTTCATTCATTAATCGTACATACACTCATTCATCCATAAATAAATGCAATCATTCAAATAAGCGCATAGAACAAATCTAGGAATCACTCAACTATAAAATCATGCAATAAATCAAGAATTAGAATTACAACATAAACAATTCTAGACCTACGCTGGTCCATTAGGATTTGGGGGGGGGGTATCAAAATAAGTTTAATGGACGAGATCTTTACTAGATTGCTATGTGTCGCATTTCTAATCAATTGCCACATAAGTGTTTAGAATTTACACCTATTCCAAGCAATAAATTTCTTTATCTTCTTACTTGAGGTTGATTGATTTGCAAGCTTCCAACCCATCCAATAATAGTTACTGTCTTGATCTACAAGCTTTTAACTCTGAGCTCTTCTCTCTGATCTTCTCCAAAACCTGGTTGCACTTCATTTGTGGCACCAATAATGGAAGCTGTATTGGTATATGTATGTACTTTCACGGCCCATTAGATTTATGTATATAGAACTAAATCGCCTTGTCCATTGTTCCAATACGATTGGGATTCAAATTATAAAGGAAACTTGATAACCAAGGTATGTTGATAATAAAATTATGTGATTGTAAAATATGTTGTGACCTGTAAAATTTGTGAATTGTGATCGAGAAATAATACGTGACCTAGTAACTTGATAATTCATGATCGATAAAATAAATTGTGACATAAAAAATTTGTGATTTGTGACTAATAAATATTACGCGATCAATTAATTTGATAATTGTAACCAAAAAATAAGTTCTGAATCCATAAAATTTGTAACTACTATTGTAAATTGTACAATATTGTGATATTAATATATTTAATTAATACAATATTTTTTAATGTATTATTTAATTAATTAATCTTAATTAAGACATAATTTTTGAAACTTTAAAATTATTTTCTTAATTTTGAAATTGTGTATTATAACTACCTTAAATATGAATTTTTTTCCTAATAGACATGACTTTTCCCTTTGATGCTTAGCACTAGGCCGATTATGATTTGGCCCAATTAAGCAAACATTATAATATCGAAGTGCTTAAGTTCATTTAAAAAAGTTGGGCCACCTTGCTTCAATGTTGTCCTGCCAACATGGTTTGAGGCTCGGTTTGAGCTCCATTTTTTGTGAAAAATGAATTTTGTAATAATGATTATTTGTGAAGATTGTGGGGATAAAGAGTATCCATGTAAAATTATATTATTGGGAGAATGTGATTAAAAATGAGTTATGGAAAAAATTTATTAATAAAGTGTTGTTTTTACAACTATTTAAATTAGATAAAAAAAATATTTTATTTAGTGCAAATTACATAAATTTTCCAGGCTGTTGCTTATTTCACTCGCCCGCTACAAAACTTATTAAGAGGTGTAGCATAATCTCTTACACTTTGATTTTTATTTGCGTATCTTAAAGATTTGAGATTTAACTTATCAGAAAATTAATTAATCCAAAGTTAGGTTACATGTTTTCCTCTTAAATTTTTATTTTATTTTTATTTTCACGTAAATACTTTTACTTTCTCGTGGTTAATTTAATTAAAAAGAAAAAAAGGAGGAAATTTGAAATCATTTTAATTAGGAACATTATTGGTTTCCAAATTTTTTTTGTAAATTTTGTTTGTCTTCACAATGTGCAGCACATTGTTGGCCCTCCAAGAAGTTGAGAACAATTGCTTGGAATACACCAGTTCCTGGACAGCAAAGAAGAAAAAGAGAGAGAGAGAAGACAAAAGGTAAAAGTAAAAAAAATAAAATAATGTACCTTACTTAAGCATAGAGTAATTCTATATTATGCATCTATAAAGTCTGATTGCCCTTCTTGATGCTCATAGCATACTTACAAGTGTTATCCCAGTGAAAGAAGATGACAAAATTAAAGTCAAGTAAGATGATTTTAATTTACTTTGCATTGTTTGTTGGGTCTGTGGTTTTTTCTAAAGTTTCTTTTTTGTCTCGAGTTCTATTATAGAATTGCTAGTTTTATGCTTTGAATAAAACTCCTGAAGTAACCCAGAATGTATTATTTTTCTGTGGTCCCCTTACAATGCCAGGCACTTCAACTTTCTCGACCAGTTTGAAAACATTGTTTGTCACCCAACTTATAGCATTGTTTCATTTAGTCATCAAACTTTCTTTTCTTCTGTTTTAAGTTTTTCGCTGATTTTTCATTTTGATTGGTGAACAGATAAAAAGCATAATCTAGCAGGTTTGGGAATTGTGCCAGAGGAGCTCACTGAGGATAACATTGAATCTTGGAAAAATTGCTTGAAAAATTATTTGGTTGGGAATGGGCTTTGGAGTGTTGTCTCTGGTCAGGAGATTGAACCAGATATGACAAATAAACAAGTGCATGAAGAATGGAAGAAAAAGAATTCTCTGGCTTTGCATGCAATTCAACTTTCATGTGGACTAGCACTATTTTCTAAGTTTAAAGATCCCCACATTTCTGCTCAATATGCATGGACTCATTTGGCTGAGAGAGCTTCGGGAAAGGCACAACAGCCAGTGCCAGTCTTAGATTATGTTAAAGAAATTCCAATTGAAGATAATGGTAATGTATCAATCTTTGTGAGAAACTAGCTTGTCTAAAATCTTATCATATTAGAAGAAACGTGAAATTGAAATATTGGTTCTCAATCGTTAAAAATGAGTAAGTTAGTCATCAACCTTTCATTACAGTTGCACACTCAATTCTCAAAGACCGAAACAATTCAAATCTCCATCACATTGTCATGCAAACTTGGGTAGCTATCTAGAAATTTTAAGTGAGACATTCTTCCACAAGAACAATGAAGTCGAGCAAATTTTCCCTTTTATTTATTCGATCTTTGTATTTGACACAACACCTCACATACAGGTTGAATTCATTGTTTGCAGGGTTGGGAGAGTACCTTGATTACAAGTCCTTATACAAGGCAATTGAAGAAGGTAACTTGAATCATGCAGAAGTTTTCCTTCAGCTGAAGCCAGATGCCATTAGGGCAAGAGTTACATTACACGACGATACAGCTCTGCACATTGCAATTTTGTTTGGAAAAATTGCAATTGCAGAAAAACTTGTAGATTTGATGAACGCGGATGACTTACAAATGATAAATGATCATGGTGCTACGACATTGTCTCTTGCTGCGATCTGTGGTGCGAAGAAGCTGGCTAAGACAATGATGATTAAGAACAAAAATTTAGTTAGAATTGCAAGTGTAGATCATGAAGACGGGCAACTTCCTGTGATTGTGGCCGCATTGTATGGACAAAAGGACATGGTTCGTTATTTATACAGAGTGATGCCAAAACATGAGCTAAGTCCTGAAAAGGGTGATAATGGAGCCACACTACTTAATTGTCTTATTACAGCTGAAATTTATGGTAAGTGAACGCATAATGTGAAAAGTATAATCACACCCTGCGTTGAGTCCATCAATTGCAGATCAACCTTATATTAATGCACATATAAAATTAGTCAATATCAGATATTAATTTCAGCCACAATTCATAACTACTATTCATTATTATCTATGGGACCAACTAGTATTACTCTTTATAAATTGATTTATTAATTTTTCAAATGGAGGCTATATGTTTTCTGATTTCATTTTACTAAAAGTTGTGATTGTGATTGAGATTAGGCATAATCCCCATGACACGGATACCTGATTCTGGCTGTTTTCTTAATGTAGATGTTGCTTCTAAGCTATTGAAAAGGTACCCAAAGCTGGGTGTTACCCCAGATCCTAGTGGCAATTTTGCACTCGGAATATTGGCTCACAAGCCCTCTGCATTTTATAGTGGGACTAAGCTTAAATTTTGGGAAAGATGCATCTACAGTTGTAAGTATACAAATGCTCTCCTATTAATTTCATTCGCAAACAATGTACCACAAGAGCACATTTAGATAAATTTGAATTTTAGTACAAAATAACAAACGAGCTATAAATGCACATGTTGAACATGATCATTTTGAAAAGTATTCCTTGTCTGGACTTTTTACACAAGGTTTAAGAGTACATTCACCTTGGGAAAGTCATCACGGTTCTCATGACAATGAGCATGTAGAAATGCAAACATCAAGTAGTATTGATGATCACAATATTCAAATTGAATCATCCGATGAAGATATGATCGAAGGGAAGGCACATGGAGGCCTAACTATAACAACGCGAGGTACATCAAATCACACCATATTCCTCCTCGTCTTGTTCAAGTCTTCTTCATACATCCTAAATTTAGTTTTAGAGGTACAAATCAGGCAAGGATGACTCCTGGACTAACCCTGGCTCAGCTAGGCCAGTCCATCCTGGGTCAAAATCATTTTTAATTTATTTTGAACATGTGGATCCATGGATCTTCGAAGTGGGCTGACTATGTCGTGGCCTATGATGGGTCCGTCTGTGCTTTCATTAAGTGGCATTAGGCTTTTATAACCCAGTACATTTCGACACCTCTAAGTAAAGTCTTGTTTTGCAGCTTTGGTGCGCAAATTCGGTTGGGGGATATTGCAACTCTTTGGTATGTATTATCTTCCCATATATAAAATTTCTGCTACGTATTGGAAATCTATTACATATGATGGGCTATTTAACATTAGTTTTCTTAATTTTCAGTTCCAGAGATAAATTACATATATCAGAGGAAGTTAGTCCATGTTGAAGTTGCGAAATTCCTAAGTGTCGTGTTTGAAGAAATGCCACAACCGAGCAAATCACAGCTCGAAAAAATGCACATTGATCAAATAATATATGATGCCATACAACATGGAATTCTTGAATTTATAAAAGAAATGATTAAATGGAATCCTGAAATTATAAGGAAAAAGGATAAAAATGGGAAAACAATTTTTTCGCACGCAATTGCTTTGCGTCAAGAGGAGATTTATAGCCTTATATTTGATTTAGGAGCAAGGAAGAGTATAATTGCAAAGAAGCATGATATTTTTAAGAACAATTTTTTACAGCTTGCTGCAAAATTATCTCCTCCGTCTCAACTTGAGAGGGTATCTGGAGAAGCCCTACAAATGCAAAGGGAACTGCAATGGTTTAAGGTAATGATGTGTGCCCGGCCGAGCGCGTGTATGTGTGTGTGTGCGTGCGCACATGTGTGTATCCCATTGTGATTTTTTTCGAGCTATCATATCTAAAGTTTAAATTATTGAAAGATATCATATACTTATTTATTCAATTTTATATCAAGTCCATGTTTGTCTCCTTTTAAAATAAAATTTTTTAATGTTCATATTATTTTCACCCATACATTCGTACAATAAAATAATTTGCACTTAAACCCAAAACTTTTCCTACTTTCTAATTATACATTCTCCAAAAACACTATTCAAAACATCATTTTTTCAAAATAATAGCGAAGGGCTAAATGTTCTCTCTCTGCAATACATGTACAATTTTCATAAATAGGTAACAATTATTAAAGACGTAATTCACATAAATAAGTTCGTCTTGTTTCTAAAAATTTAAACTTTAGATGAGGTAATATAATATGGTACGAATTAGGTAATGGTCCCGAGTTCAAGTCGTGTCACCCTCTATTTATGAAAAATTGTGCACATGATTTCATCCCAAAATGGAGTCTCAAGAGACTGACCATATCGTATAGTTTTTTTATTCCATATTAAGAGGCGAAATTGGAATTCATGACATTTTATCTACTCTAATGCTACGTTGATCTATCTTATCCAAAATTTTGATTCATCATCTTATGTTGTTTCTTCCAATACACAGGAAGTCGAGAACATAGTACAACCCAAACTCAAAGAGGAAAAAAATGAGTTCAACAAAACCCCCGAAATGGTATTCAGAGATGAACACAAGAAATTAGCCAAAGAAGCAGAAAACTGGATGAAAAACACAGCAACATCAAGCATGATAGTGGGCACTCTAATTGCTGCTGTAATGTTCACAACAGCTTTCACAGTACCAGGTGGAAATAAAAACGACACAGGATTGCCAACAATGTTGGAAACTCAAAGGACCCTGTGAAAAGGAGGGAAGCAAGAAGAGAAGAAAGGGAAGAGAAGGCAAGTAGCGCCTAGGCGCCCCGAATGCAGAAGGGAAGCAGAATATTGGCGCCTAGGCGCCACTTCCATGGCGCCTAGGCGCCCCGGCATGTATATATATATGCATTTTTTCCCTCTTTCATATAACATAACATTCACAACCCAAGACCTAGAGAGAAAAGAGAGAAAACTTTGGAGAGAATTTTACAAGTTGAAGGTGTTCATCTTGGGTATAAACTCAAAGGTATTTTCTTTCTTGGGGATTAACTTGAGGCTTGTTCAAGTAATCCAAACACATTGATTATCATATATTCCATTGGATTCATTTCTTCCTCATTTTTTTGTTCTTCAAGTGTTTTGGAAATTTTCACTTTGCCAACTTAGTTAGATCTTTGGGCATTCATTCGGAGGTGTTTTCCCAACAATTTGGTATCAGAGCTCCTTCCAAAATCAAGGTGGTTAAGCTTCGATTTTGTGGTGAGTTGCTTGAACTTTGTTGTGCACAAGGTGTTTGTGAAAATTCCCAAGTGAACTTTTGTGATTTATTTTCGGTAAACAAGTGAGTAAATCATGTCTACTAGAGGAATGGTGAAGATTGGGAAGTATGAGATAGAAAAATTCAATGGGAAGAATGATTTTTCATATTGGAGAATGCAAATGAAAAATTTGTTGATTTCTCAAAAGTTGCACAAGGCATTGGCGGGAAAGGAGAAGAAGCACGTTGATATGTCGGACGAGGATTGGGAAGAGTTAGATCTTGAGGCACGAGCGTCTATCATTCTTTGCCTTGAAAGAGATGTTGCTTTCTTGGTTGATAGTGAGGTAACGGCGGCGGA